TGTTTCATATACGCAAAGGCCGTCGGGTTTTAAAGCAATTATAAATTAAATCAATATTTAAAACAAACTTACCTTCTCTAACGTCGGCTCCCTTCTTTTCTTGCAAAAATACGAGCAAAAATGAAATATATTTGCAACAAATTTATCAATCATCAAATCAAGAAATGTTTGCTATTTCGCTGTCGTCATGCAGTCGTTATAATTCAAACTTTAAATTGGACCAATCACAGTGTTCGCTATTCATGACAGTCCGCCAATCGATCCCTTCGTAGCCTTCGTAACCCACTGGTACACGTATATAACCATTACTCCGCGTTGTTCTTTATCGACCACATGTAGAAAGATGGACGATTTGCTTCGCGATGCCATAGCAAATCTACAAACTTGTTTTTCTGGTTCCGAAAATATTCTATACGTATGCACTATATTATTACGCCTTCCTTGCATTGAAAACACTCAAATTTCAAGAAAAACGCGCTAAAATTATCAATATATCATGCAAAAAAAATTGTTTTGAGAAACGTTGGATGACAGATGACATAATTCCTCGCGGAAGCATCGCCATTACTGGCAATAGCCGACCGTAGAAAATAGTGGAAAAGGGGGGGCGAACATATGACGTTTCTCATGGACAAAATCGATATGTGAGGCTTCCCCAACACACACAAAAATAGTAATATATCATGTAGCCCGGCTACTATTTCACTGGATACGTACAGTATACTTAACAGTTATTCTACGAACTCGAGTCGAATATGAGCTGATGAGCTGGCGCGTAGCGCCGAATCGGCTATCGCTCATATTCGACAAGAGTGAGTGGAATAACTGTTTTATTATATACACAAGGTCTGAATTCACAGACTTTGCTTTTCGATTATTTTCAATATTTTTCTATTTTGTTTATGTTTTTATCTTCGCTCTTTCGGCCGATTAGTTTTTCAAAAAGATATATTTTTAATCATTTTAAATATTAAAAATTTATTTGCTAACCTGAAACCATTTTGTGGGAGGTTTTTCATTGTGTTTTTAATCCTGTGAAGGCTATAAAAAGCGACAACTTGCCGTTTTCTCGTTTGCAAAACATCGTAAATTCAGTTTGGCCGCCATTTTGTTTTTCTCTGACTAGCCGGATATGAGCTAATATCCTGCTAGTAGAGAACCAATCAGATTGCAGAATACCTCATATCCAGACCTTGTGTATATAATAACAGGTCTTAGATACGATACGTATATACCAGATCCAGATCTCGTTCTAATATACACAAATTATATAATTACTAAGACAATATTACAAATTGATACTGTAAAGGAAATATCATGCAAGACTTTTAATGTTTGATACCATGGATAATAAAATAAATTTATTTTATTATCCATGTTGATACTATTAATATTCCAAAGTTTCGTTGCGAAATGTTGTAAAATCGGCGGATAACATAGCCTTGCGAAATTTGCACTGAGATCGAGGGAAACAGTGTGCCTCGGGCAACAACGGCGATCGAGGGGCCACAAAACACACTGCTTTCCCGACTCAGAATAAGTGTTTTGTTATATAGTATATAAGTGTCAAAGTATGAATAATTCACTGGTTATTGGAGTGAACTTAATTTGAAACCAAAACTGGATAAATGGAACGCCGTAAATGTTTAGTAAAAAGTTTTAAAAATGAACTTTGGAACTGCATGGTTGACACGTATGCGTATTGCACCCATTTTATTATTGACCGGTCAATAAATGTTTGATTGCGGACCGGTTGCCGAACATGACGTTTTGTGGACTGGCACGTGACACGGTTTTGACCAATCGGCAAACAGAAAAATTGAACTTTGACCTAGCTATATAACAACAATCTGTAAAATAGCATTAATAATTCATAAACCTTGTGGCAAATCATGTCAGCCATAATATACTATGTCACGTGGAGTGACTTTATATCTGATAAAGATTACATATTATTATAATATTGTTAATATTACACATTATTTATATTACATCCTAATTAGTATTCTTTTGTAGTCGTATTTTACAGCATGAGCTCCACCTTTGAATTTACTATATGAGTAAATTCTTAAATTAAACACGTCCGAATTTATCATTATGATAAATTCGCGGCACATTTTGAATTTATCATAATAATAAATTCGCGGCACCTAACACTAACCCTAACCCCAACCCTAACCACTAACCCCTAACCCCTAACCACTAACCCCTAATTTTTTTAACTTTTTAAATTTTTTTAACTTTTTTTAAAAATCTAACTTTTTAAACTTTTCTTGCTTTTCAAAACTCTTTTAAAACTTTTTTAAAAACTATTTTTTTAAAAAACTTGAAAAACTCCCCACCCCTGCGCGTCCGGCCTCACTTTTAGTGCCATTACATTTATAACAAGAAATCTTGTGTAATGCTTGTGGTTTTATGATTAAATCTATTGATAAATTCAAAATGTGCCGCGAATTTATCATAATGATAAATTCGGACGTGTTTAAGAATTTACTCATATAGTAAATTCAAAGATGGAGCTCATGTTGGTATTTTAAGCTATTCCGCAAAACACTCGTTGTCGTGTTTTATCAGACATAAAACGCTCGGCTGCGCCTCGCGTTTTATATCTGATGAAACACTCCTACTCGTGTTTTAAATAGTACATATAATACATATAATTTATATACACAATATATATAATATATACAACATATATTACAATTTATATATAAACAATCTGCAGGCATGCATGTTTCAGCGTTCTACCCAACCTCGTTCCCAGGGCTTTCATGTGAGGTCGACGGGAGAGATCAGAATCCCCTCGTCCTCACATGAAAGCCCTGGGAACGAGGTTGCGCTCATCAGTGCAGTTCAGTTTGGTACGTCTAGAGATGTTATACGTTTGAATTTAGACACGTGGGCTTGCTCTCACCAAGCGCATGTGGTCTAACTGGGGGAAATTGAAGCCAATGCATTTAAGTTTTTCTGAGTTATGAGCAGAAATACTCAACACTGAACGTTGGGCTATATATCAAATTGAAGCTATTGAAAAACGCTATTTGGTGTAGAAATTTCAAGATTTTAGCTAAAAGGAAAGTACTGTCATAGGCCTTCATCATAGCAGTTAGCCTTCCAGTTTATTTATAGTTCAATGGTCTGGCCTCATTGGCTCCGCACGATATTTTTTTCCAAATTTTTGTAATGTATTGCTTTTACAAACATGCCGTGCTCGATATATTTTTCATCAGTTCGGGGCATGTTCCCGTTTGATGATGTTTGATGATCTTTTTTCAACGTGATTAAGAAACGATAAAAGTACACATGCAATGATATTACTCAGAGTACTATAGTGTAATAAACAAGTATTTACGAACCTTAATGAACCGGAATTAAACATATCACATGTGATATAAATGACGCACACGGATTACCACCATAAACTTTAAATGTGTTTCCAGCTTTATTTATTGTGTTTTTCTTGTCATCGGATAAAAATTCTTTAGTCGCTTTTCACATTTTCTTCGCATTCTTCTTCACGGGTGGTCCAACATATAGTACTTGACAATCCAGGAAATATCGCATCGCTTTATTTTTCTCTTCACGTGAGACTTGAAAGCAATTTTTTTGTTTTCTCGATCAATATAGAAGGGCGTATAACATCCATATAATGAAACCTCGGAATCAAACCATATCGCTTGAGTTTTAGCTGACCATATTGACCAGGAAATACGGACTACGTTCGCATTCGCAACAGAATGCAAATTCGCGCGTTTCCATTTGTTGATCGTACGGAACTTCGCACAGTTAGCTGTGCTCGAACGGCGAGCAGAAACATGCAGCCCGTGTGGCGGAAGGCAACTATCACGTGCAAATTTGAGTACAGTTTGAATCAGCTCTGGTCCCGTGCCTGTTTCACCAGGCTCCGTTTAAATTCTCTAAACTTGATTAGTGAAATCGTGTTTTTTATGCATGCATTGTCTTTCTTCTGCTAAATCTCTATATGAATATACCTCGTGGTGCAGCATAATCTCAATGTAGTTATTCTGTAATATATTTTTGAGTGCTTCAGACACTTTTGGCTTCAGACACTTTTTGAGTGCTTCAGACACTTTTGGATTTCGATTCCCTAAAATCTATAAAACTCAATTTTAAAACTACCCAGTTATAAGTTTACAACTACCCAGTTATATATTTAGAACTGCGAAAGGAATATTTAGGATGACCTCTATGAACAGGCCTGCTGGGTTACACGAGCGGGCCCGCAGAAACGCTGTCTTCTGATTGGGTTACACCTCCTGTTTGAATTGCACGCTTCGATAAACACGTGCGTACTCACCTGCTTGCGTGCAAAGTAGTCAAATAGTAAACTGAAAATCCAGTTTTGGCGCTCCTTCGTTAAGCTTTTGCGCCTCAAATCCCTGGCATGGAGGACCATGCTCTCCTGCCCCCTGCTAACACGCCACTGATGACGGTGATGAAAGTTATTCAAAATTACTCGCGATTTATGCATATTTTGTATGCTAATGTTCACGCAAGCGTCGAAATGACTGTAGCAAGTTGACAAAATCGCCAGCGACGATTTGATCGATATCGCACTAGAGATGACAGAAGCATTAAAAGACATGTAAGACAAAAGCCTCTCCAAATAGGATTGGATTCCAACAACAGATACATGATGCATGCTTAAGATTTTTCGCATATGACCATGGCTGTTGCGCTACTGTTTCGTGTTCTGAGTTTTTTCATCACGATAGGTTCACAATGCTTGCCCTATCAAAGCTGACGTACAAGGCGATCAGGCTTAATTACTTTAAACATCCAATCAGAAACGGGTGTTGTCGAAACCTCATCTGTTTTAAATTTCCTTCGAGCGCAAATTCCTCTCGAAGCTCGACCAGAATTATACACGAAGTGGTCATATTACCGTACACAAGGCGCAACGTGCTTGTGTATTTTGTGTTTATCCAGCGCAAAATGGAAGGCGAAAGTTCTCAAGAACGATTCTTGTGTTGGGCAGACTTTTCACATCGAGAAATAGTCGAGGTAATCTGCGCGATATGCGTATCATGCGAGTTATTATGGCGTCGGTGTGTCGACCGTGCCAGTCGAAAACCCTCAACAAATCATGTTATGAGGAATCTCTAGCGCTTACAGAAGCAATAACTTTGTACTATAGACAAGGCTCGGTATAATGTGACGTATATAGAACAAGAATTGCATTTAACATGGTTCTTTGGGGACAATAGTTTATAAGACCCAACTAGAGGATGATATATATAAATACCACATAGATTAAATCGCATTTCGAGAGCAAGGACAGGGAGTTTAAGAGTGACGTATAGTTGTAATCTATGCAAGAATGCTTTTTTTGTTATTCAGTAATTGCCTTTGGCAGACAGCATCTTTGAAAATCATCCAAAGTTGCTCAAGCACGTAGAAGGCGGAATTTTTTTTGAACGTTCGGCATGTTTGATACTGTATATAGAACTTGATAGGCAGTGCTATTTAGATTGAATACAACAAATTATATTTAAAGTTCTCGAATATTACAGAAAGGAATGTCTGCATAGTGGTTTGTTAAATTTAAGATTTGACCAAACCGTTTATGGCTCGGTTCATGATGTTATAGCCACAGTTAATAAAGGTGAAATTATACTGTGGTTACTTTAATATGCTAGATATCTTCGCGAACTACAGTAGTAGCTAAGTTGGTTCAAATTGAACTCTTCAGTACTTGAACTTCCGCGTAAAAGTCCAAATGTTCTCATGTCTTCTTAATTTGTAGGGTCGCGCAAAGGGAAATCGTCGTTCACTATGGCTGCGCGCACGAATGCAGACATTTCTTTTCAAGCTTGGTTATTACGCACAGAACCACAGCGTACAAGTTATCATGATTGGCTTGGTGGCTCTTATCGTATTCGCGCTTGGTTTATACAAAGCAAGGCTTGAAACCAACGTGGAAAATCTATGGATGGAAGGTAGGTCACCAATACAGTATTCAAGTCATATGGTGCTACACATGTTGGTCAACATCAATAGTATTAACACTTATGGGAGCGAACAATTATGTTAATGTTTTCTTTTCATGTATTTTAAGCACAAATTCAATACATACTCTGTATGGTAACGAATTTAGTGTTGACCACCATGTTTTGTAATATAAAACAACTTGCACATACTATACACTGCAATGTTATACAGCTTATTATACTATATGTTATACAGGGACGCAAGCAATTAAACACGTTGTTCGACGTTTACATCCAAATTCAAAACGAGTTGATAAAAAATAATATTAAGTTCCATTGTGAATATATAAGTTCTTGGAAGTTCTGCGTAAAATTCCAGAAATTCTCTATAGGGATCCTTGAAAATATTGCTAGAATTGGGTCAAAGGTTCGCTTAGGTATGGATGCTGGGTGTGGTGTTACTCTGAATCTATATCCACACCGGGCGAGCTTGAAAAATATGCCCGGCCACGGTGGGATTTGAACCTACGACCTTTGGAATACTAGCCCAATGCTCTTCCAACTGAGCTACGTGGTCAGGACGGTTCGAGTAAGTGATATTTCGGAACAGAATCTAGTTCCTTCGATACCAATTAATGTATTCTAGTAATATGAATTTCTT